GAGTAAAAGCGTGATGAGCAATACACCCATGCATGGGAGCCTTACTCACTGCCATGCATGGGTGATTGGCGAAAAGCGTGATGAGCAATGGACTCATGCATGGCAGCCTTACTCACTGCCATGCATGGCATGATGAGTAAAAGCGTGATGAGCAATACACCCATGCATGGGAGCCTTACTCACTGCCATGCATGGGTGATTGGCGAAAAGCGTGATGAGCAATGGACTCATGCATGGCAGCCTTACTCACTGCCATGCATGGCATGATGAGTAAAAGCGTGATGAGCAATACACCCATGCATGGGAGCCTTACTCACTGCCATGCATGGGTGATTGGCGAAAAGGCGTGAGGAGCAATGGGCCCATGCATGGCAGCCTTACTCACTGCCATGCATGGCATGATGAGTAAAAGCGAGATGATCTAGCGAGTACAAGGCTTGGATTAGTGGGATTCATGTGTACAACAACCAAAAACGGTGTGAGGACGTACCTCTACAGGGTCAATAAATTTGACCTTGAATATCCTGTGCCACCCGGAAACGCTAACATTTTCGTTTTGTAGCGCCTTTTCTCAATGCCCAGCTTCTCCAGAGCGTATTTATCGACCGCATGCTTCGTGTTCCAATTCTTCAATGCTTTTATGTCAAATCCGGCGTGCTTGATGAGCTTGAAAAACCACCACACGTCATGCGCGCTGAGACCGACTCCCTTGTTGCATGAAGCTAAGAACTTGAAGGTTTCCAACAGCGTGTCGAACTCCGGTGTCTCTTCGGGTTCGTCAATGTCGGCAAAGAAGGAGTTGGCGTCGTGGAAAACCTCCTCACGGTCACATTCCATCGCTGCTGCTGAGATGGCGTTTCCACATGGTGCGTGTCTTTGTCGTCGCCACACCTCGGGAATGACACTGGAGTTGTATGGGATTCCCGGAAGCACGTCATTCTCAGTGTTACGAGATTTATTTGCTCTTGCACGCGCATGAGCAAGCAAGCATTTGTCGCTGCGCTCGTGGTTTGAGAGTGCAACCTCGTTGTCGAATGAAACCTCACAAGTCTCGCAGCTGAAACCATCTGTCGGCAAAAACCCTTTCCATCTCGCAGCATCCGTGAGGCATTGGTGATTCAAAGCTAGATGTCATGTCAAGGCGTTCAGCGTGAAGCACCAATAGAAGTAGTGCTATAACGCACCGTAGCCGTATGGCATGAAGATTAGGGCCCATTGAGAAGAGACCACATTACAGAGGGTTCTGAAAAGAACTGTGAATCAGCCAGGCTTGCTCTGATTATGAATGGGCTTCTAGACTGTTGTGCGTACTATCTGTGAGAGAAATTTGGCTGGGTAGGGAAGGGGGGAAGGGTGACGGGTTTCTTGCTGGAGTCGCGAGGCTTCTGGTTACTTGGTGGGCTGGCAAGGGCTGGGATTAGAACTGTACTAGAGTCTAGCTGCATTTGATTGGTTGGAGTACAGGGAGTGGCTGAGATTTGTCGCCAGAGCGAGTCGCATTTCCAAATCCGAGATTTGAACAACCAAATCACTCGCAAACCCTTCATTGAGGTGTTCGATATTATAGGTAGCTCTATATGGGTTTGCAAAACAGATACAGACTGTTTTGGATATACCCGATGTAAGGCGCTTGAGATCTCTGTGTATTTGTATTAGTGGTATTGTTCAGGCATCAGCCATAAAAGAATGTTATGATTGCTCATGTCAAGTCAGAAATATAGACATGAATAACAACAGCAGAATACATGTCCCATCAGGCATTGTCAAGCTTAAGTGGTGTTTTTTCAGAATACATGGCGTGATTATGCTCGTAGGTTTTGTTGTTTGAAAAATAGGTGCCCTGTAGTGCCAGCGCGCCTTAGTCGTCTCGCGGCTTGTGACGACGTCCGTTCAGATTTGTGGCTCACACAGCTTGGACAGGTTGCGTTCGGAGGTGCATTTGGACAGGTTACGCCACGGACTGTTTTGTAAACTTAGCATCTTAACGTCATTTACTGAGTCGCGCTTGTTAGAGGCGTGTAACCGGGCGCGCGCCATGCTAGTAAAATACCGTATCACTTGTGAAGTCGGTATCGTTACGGAAAACGAATACCAGCGTCTCGTAACAGGCTGAAGGAACTCCGAGAAGACGCTGATAACAGATGGGAATGAACGGGTGGTGCTCTGCCGATCTGATGCTGGAGTTGGTAATTAAATATCGCGTTGCAGTCGTTATCGTGTCCTCTAAAAACACGTAGAAACCGTGAAAAAATCGGCGGGAATTGTGATGACTAGTAAGTCAGCAGGTAATGAACGGGTGGTGCTCTGCTCTCGTTCTATCGTGCGTATTTGAAGAAGAGAGTGAAGTTGAGAGCCTACTCCCCGCAGGCCCAGCAGGTCAGGCTACGTGAAGTTTGTTGAATACACCTGCCTGGCAACACGCTCGAACAAGCACACGTTCGTGACCAACAACCACGGAAACAGAGCCGTCAACCAACCAGCATGTCAACACCCTCGTTACAAAACGGTTAAAAACCTTGATATTTCCATAAACAACGTTACATATGAAGACAATCATGAGTAATCATTAGTATAAAACCAGGTGTCACTAATTATATAAAAAGGGCGTCAACTCAATATGGTTCCATTCGCACTAATGACGTAGTATTGAACAACGAATGATGTGAAACCGTGCGAGTACAGACCCGGACTACAGATTATGCGTTTCGACGCTGCGTTGCGTGCTCATTTTTGCAGGGTTTCTTCACACCACTGGGTCATGAATGATATTAGAAGGGTGTCAAATCATCTTGGTGCCATTCGCACGACTGGAGAACGAGTGACGCAGTTGTGAACGTCGAATGATGTGAAACCGCGCGAGTACAGACCTGGACTGCAGATGATGCCGTTTCGACGCTGCGTTGCTCATTTTTGCAAGGTTTCTTCACACCACTGAGTCATGAATGATATTAGAAGGGTGTCAAATCATCTTGGTGCCATTCGCACGACTGGCGAACGAGTGACGCAGTTGTGAACGTCGAATGATGTGAAACCGCGCGAGTACAGACCTGGACTGCAGATGATGCCGTTTCGACGCTGCGTTGCTCATTTTTGCAAGGTTTCTTCACACCACTGAGTCATGAATGATATTAGAAGGGTGTCAAATCATCTTGGTGCCATTCGCACGACTGGCGAACGAGTGGCACAGTTCTGAGCGTCGAATGATGTGAAACCGCGCGAGTACAGACCTGGACTGCAGATGATGCCGTTTCGACGCTGCGTTGCTCATTTTTGCAAGGTTTCTTCACACCACTGAGTCATGAATGATATTAGAAGGGTGTCAAATCATCTTGGTGCCATTCGCACGACTGGCGAACGAGTGACGCAGTTCCGAGCGTCGAATGATGTGAAACCGCGCGAGTACAGACCTGGACTGCAGATGATGCCGTTTCGACGTTGCTTTGCTCATTTTTGCAAGTTTTCTTCACACCACTGAGTCATGAAGGATATTAGAAGGGTGTCAAATCAGTTTGGTGCCATTCGCACGAGTGGCGAACGAGTGACGCAGGTCTGGACGTCGAATGATGTGAAACCGTGCGTGTACAGACCTGGACTGCGGATGATGCCGTTTCGACGGTGCGTTTATTTGTCTTGCAACTTTATTCCCAGAAACTGAGACACTTATGATGCTATACATTCGTCACCCCAATTAGTTGTCGTTCCCGAAATGTTATGGTTTTCAACTGGACCTTTTGAGTGAATGTTTACCGTTTTATATATACAAAACTAAATGGTTTGTTTTTCAAACAATTCTGAACCTACACCCAACCCCCCTTCATGAACTCAACCTCAGCGGTTGGATGTGCTGAGGGTTTCGTTATCGAGGGCTAGGAGAGCTTCACGCGAGCCCTGAAACAACCCTGGGCATTGTTCCTTGTCCATCTCCTTGCTCGACGTTTTCAAACCCTTGGCCTTGCTCTATCTGCTCTGTTCGGCTGTTTGAATTTTGAGATTTCAAACTTGAGAACTCTGTGCCAACCCTAGCCCACGACCATAGCTACTAACCTCACCTTACACCATGCCTAGCGTTCGGTACCAACCCTGGCCGACCACCACAGCCACTTACCCCAGATATCCGCCAGGCCTAGCGTCCAGTTCTCAACTGAGTAAGGGAACGTCACCTGCTGTGAACGCGTTACCATACCTCACCTCCCTCCCCAAGCCTGATTCAGTGACACAGTCATTACCACAGATTGCCACCAGGCCTTGCGTCCAGTTCAGCTTTGCTACGGATCGTCAACTGCTGTCGGCGCGTTGCCTCACCGCACCTCATTCCCAAGCCTGATTCAGTGACGAGCCTTACTTTCCACCGTCTCACCAGGAGTCACGCTATTTTCGTAGTATATAATGGCGGGTCCGCCTCATTTTCCGCACAAACTTACCGAGAATCACTCTTCAAAGCTTCTCTACTTCTTCCGTCATGGAACAGTCTAACGCAAACTGCTTCCGCCCTAATCTCTTCCATCCGCGGGCGTCGCCAAAATGGCCGGTTTCATGCGATGCCCGGAACCCAGGCAATTCGTGCTGCATCGATGGGACATGCTACCTCTCTCAGGTATCAACGTGGCGGCTCGACCATCTTCTCCGAAAAGTGAGTTTTTTTATGTGTTTTGTTGCACACCATTTTACGCTCTGTTTCTAGCTTCCTTGTGTTGATTCCGCAGGCCAATGAGAGATATTGACACATTGTTGCTGGATCTCATTTGTGCAGGTCCTGTTCGGACGCGCTCCTTACACGCTGTGTTTTCCGACGCGGTAGGAAGTCAGCCGCGTCACGAGGAGAATCGGCCGCTCAACACCAGTGGTCATGCTCCACAAATCCCGGCCTCGCGTGGTGATGCGACTTCCGCTCACGTCAATGGCGTGGGAAACGCCATCTGCTCACCATTCTCTGCGTTCCGGAAGTCAGGGCCGGTCGGGTGGGCGGCGAGCAGGTCAGGCGGCCCGCCAGAGTTCCGCCAATGCCGCAGGGCGCACGTCTGCTGCTGCTGGCGCAGGCCAGCAGTTCCGCCACGCTGCAGGGAGCAACACCGCCGCTGATGCATCTGGCGGGCTGCTTGGCGAGGACCGCTGGGCGCACGTCTGCTGCTGCTGGCGCAGGCCAGCAGTTCCGCCACGCTGCAGTGAGCAACACCGCCGCTGATGCATCTGGCGGGCTGCTTGGCGAGACCGCTGGGCTGACGTCTGCTGCTGCTGGCGCAGGCCAGCAGTTCCGCCACGCTGCAGGGAGCAACACCGCCGCTGCTGCATCTGGCGGGCTGCTTGGCGAGACCGCTGGGCTGACGTCTGCTGCTGCTGGCGCAGGCCAGCAGTTCCGCCACACTGCAGGGAGCAACACCGCCGCTGATGCATCTGGCGGGCTGCTTGGCGAGACCGCTGGGCTGACGTCTGCTGCTGCTGGCGCAGGCCAGCAGTTCCGCCACGCTGCAAGGAGCAACACCGCCGCTGATGCATCTGGCGGGCTGCTTGGCGAGACCGCTGGGCTGACGTCTGCTGCTGCTGGCGCAGGCCAGCAGTTCCGCCACGCTGCAGGGAGCAACACCGCCGCTGCTGCATCTGGCGGGCTGCTTGGCGAGACCAGCGGCATGCCGCGAATCAAGCGTGCGTCTATCTCCGGTAAACACCGGCTAAGCGTCAGTTGTAGTGTCCTTACAGTCGCGGTATTAACTAAGCAATGTCTTGCTCCGTCGTCAATAAAAATCTTCACTGCTACCCCCCGTATTTTCCTGTGAACCGGTATTAGGCAATCTGTCGCTGTACCCTCCTTATTCAGCCGAGCGCGATCGATTGCGTGAATCGGTACAGTCACTCGGTAAGGGTCAGCGAGGTCGGGCGAGCAGTGAGTCTCGTCAGTAGTGGGCCCGTACTCCACTGACTGTTGGATTTTCCCTGCCTCCCGGACTCCCTCCCCTGCTCTGCTCCTCAGCACGTTAGCTCATCTGGGCATTCGCTCTTGCGGTGGTCCGGCCTGTTGCACTCGAAGCAACACCCCTTAAATGGCGCAGCAGCTGCGCTCGTTGCAACAACTTGTACAGTGGCGTGCTCGGTCGGTCCCCGAGTACGATGTCCGTAGTAGGACCCCAGTCTCAAACAGCGTAGGATGTCAATCTTCTCGGCGAGCGCCAGGATTTCGTTGAAGTTCGAAATTTTGCAGAGTAGGATTTCCTGCGAGATTTTCGGCTTCAAGCTGCCGACGTAACGATCCACTCACTCCGCTTCGTGCATGTGGCCAACATGTTCGCACAACGCAAAAATTGCTGGTGTAGTCTTGAACCGACCCAAGCTGCCGCCAAGTGCACAGCTTCTGACGTGCTGAAATCAAAGCCGCGATCGGCTCTAAGCGCGCCCGAAGCCCTGCGCACCACGCGTCCCATGTGCTGTATTGGGCAACTTCGCAGAATGAACTCCAGTTTACGGCTGGGTCCGAGGGCCTTTCCTCTTGCGACAGTGGCTCTACGACGTTTCGATAACTCGCCACCAGTCCATGGCGGGTCCGCGCAGTAAAGAAACGGCTCACCAGATCTTCGCTGCATCTGATATGACGTAGTTCGCGTAAACAAATACGTTTATCATGAAAATCCACGATTGAACGGTCGAGCCTCCACGCTGCTAGGATCGAAGCAGGCCGGGTGCTGCGGCTTGAGCGGCATCGGCTTACCAATGTCGGTGTTGTTGATAGGTTCCGTGATGCTGACGCGGCGTTGGACCTTGCGTGGTGTGCTCGCGGCCGGCATTTCCCTGGCTCGTTCCATGCCCCGGCATGGATTGGGCGGCGCCATCACCGATTGCACCGGAGCGCTGTCCCACGCTGCCGTATTGCGACGGTGTTCTTGATTAGATGAGAATTAGTTCGTCAGTGTTGGTGGTTCCATTCACAGGTCCTTGTGCTGATGCACTCGCCGATGATTGCTGAAGCGCGGAGTTGTGATCCACCGTCAATATCCTGATTTTGAGTGCCGATTCTTGCAATTGGCGCACGATTTCGTCCAGGCGGTCTTGCGTCAGGCCTTCGAGTGGAATGCGGGCGTTCTCGTCCATAGCGGGGGTGTGGGGCTAGCTTAGCGAGAGCCTCAGTCGTTGCTATGTGTGCTTACGAGAGAGCACACGAGCAGTGGTGCTTGGTCGCTGAGGGACGTCTACCCCCTCCAAAAATATGAGATAAGTTGTGGAAGTGAAGGCTGTGGGTGCGGTCGCTCTGAATATCAAGTGTTATGAGTGCAATTGAGTGAGCGAACGAGGATTGCACTATCGAAGCAAAACGGTACAATGAGCGAATGAATGAGCGAATGTTAAATAGCGAACTAACGGTGGTAACGGTAACGAGTGAAATGTGGGGTGCGAGACGGGCCTAGCTCCGAGGTTGGGAATTTTCAAGGCGGAGGACCGGAGCGTGAGTTACCCGTCGAACCGTGAGGGTTGGGTGCGGTGTGAATAGTGGCTCGTGAACAATAGTCAAGGCGCGTGTCGCGTGTGGTAACGGCGAACTGTTGGGTTACTGTTGACGGGCACAGTCATGTACGCGAAGTAAGGAAAATGACATTTTCTTACATTCGCCCAGGTTGTTTTCATTTTAAGTTTTTAGACCAGCGTGATTTTTTCGTTTTAGTTTTCCATCGGGTGGTTGTTGTAGTTGTTCAGTTCAGCCCATCCCATGCACCTAATCTTGAACCCCACCGCCACAGTGCAGAACTGTTTAGCCAGGTGGCTTGCCACGTGTTCCATCCGGAACTACAACTGTCCTCCGTAATTTCACGGGGTCAAATAGCCGAGTCGCGTTAACGTTTGCCCGAGACGGGTGAAAGTATACAGATAAAAAAAGTTCTGGTTAATTTCACACTCGAGTTGCAAAGCCTGCTGATGACGTGGATAAAAAACATAGGACGATCTCAAAGAAATTTCACCAGCCAATGCGACACCACCACGTCAGGATTGCGTGGGGCTGGGGACCACGGAAACCAGAATCAGGGCGTTGCTGACTTGATATACGATACGAAGTCAAAGTTCCGAGTCATAACATGAGTTAGAAGACGTCCCGAAATTTTCTCAAGTTGTGGCATTCCGTTACAAGTGCAATCGAGTGAGTGCGCGAGAATTGCAATATCGAAGCAACAAGTTCAAATGAGCGAAGGCATGAGCGAAGAATATATAGCGAAACTACGGTGGTAACGGTAATGTGGGAAAATGGGGTGTGCGACGGGCCTAGCGCCGAGGGTTGGGAAATGTCGAGGCGGAGGTCCGGAGCGCGGGTAACCAACCGAACCGTGAGGTTGGGTCGCGTCGTGAACAGTGGCGGGAACAGTGTCGAGGCGGGTGTCGCGAGTGGTAATGGATTACTGTTGGGTGCTGTTGGCGGGAACAGTGGTGTACGCGCTGAGCAGGGACGCAAAGTAAGGAAAAGAAATTTTCCTTACACTACCCCCCCCCCCTAAGGAGGACCTCCTTACAAAAGCGCGTGTACATCCCGGAAGTTTCGGCTGCGCAGCTACTCGGTGAGAACTGGGTGATTCTCAATTATATCCAGGGGGACCCAGTTGTCCTCTGTGGCGTGCGGTTTTTCCAGCGGATCAGAAGTTCGATCCTGCGAGCTCCCCGTGGGTCACGAACTCGGTGGCTCAAAATCGTCTCGGGTGAGATTATTGGCTCGGTGGGTGGTCGTGTCATGCTGGCTGGGCGGTTGCGAGGTAGTTGGCTGGTGGATGGCACGTAAGGGCGAAGTAGGCTGACGTGGAAGGACGGGCTGACGTACCAGTCAGCAGGGAGGCCGGGGTGGGCGGTGACGAGTGTGATCATGTGGCTGATGCGAAATGGCCCGCAATATCGGGGGCAAAGTTTTGGGGTGATGGGCAGGCGGAGGTTCTGGGTGTCGAGTAAGACTAGGTCGTCGGGCTGGTAAGTGACGGGTCTGCGGTGGCGGTCGGCGTTGCGTTTAGCGATGACGTTAGCTTTTCTAATTGTGTCTGCTGCTCTGGTCCGTGCTGCTTGCAAAATTTCGGCGAACTGTTGCGCGCATGGCACCGGGTTGTCGGGATTTGGGGTCATGGGTACTGTCGGGTCTTGTCCGTAGTTCAGGTAAAACGGTGACTGTTGGGTGGTGGCGGATGGCGAGTTGTTGTATGCGAATTCGATAAGTGGCAGCTGTTGTTTCCAAGTGGTCGGGTCGTTGCACGTGGCTCGGATGAGTTGTTCCATGGTCTGATTTGTCCTTTCTGTCTGTCCGTCGGTCTCGGGGTGGTACGAAGAACTAAACTGTAGTCGCGTGCCAAACTGCTGCCACAGGTTCTGTCAAACTCATATGCTATAGTCTGTGTAGGCTGTATTGGGGTAGACAATATGGGGTACAACTTTTCTAGGTTTTCCTACTTGTACCCACCTCTTTGCTAGTTCATTTCATTCCTCATTTCTTCACATGGTATAGAGCAGGTTCCCTAGTGGGAACGCTTCTCAAGGCCCACCACTGAAATCGACTTTTTTCTGACCGGAGCGCGAGTCGCCCCTGCCCGAGGCGCGCCCCGTGGGCCGCCCTCTTGTCGAGCCCTCCTAGAGGCCCCTCTCACGGCCCCTCGCGCCACCCTTAGCGGCCCCGTCGCCACCCCTAGCGGCCCCGTCGCCGCCCTTCTAGGCCCCTCGAGGCCCCTTCGCGGCCCCCGTCGCCGCCCCTAGCAGCCCCGTCGCCGCCCTTCCAGGCCCCTCGCGGCCCCTACGCGGCCCCGTCGCCGCCCCTAGCGGCCCCGTCGCCGCCCCTCGCGGCCCCGTCGCCGCCCCTCGCGGCCCCGTCGCCGCCCCTCGCGGCCCCGTCGCCGCCCCTACCGGCCCCGTCGCCGCCCCTACGCGGCCCCGTCGCCGCCCCTACCGGCCCCGTCGCCGCCCCTACGCGGCCCCGTCGCCGCCCCTAGCGGCCCCGTTGCCGCCCCTCGCGGCCCCGTCGCCGCCCCTCGCTGCCCCGTCGCCGCCCTTAGCGGCCCCGTCGCCGCCCCTTGCGGCCCCGTCGCCGCCCCTTTCGGCCCCTCCCCGGCCCCTTCACCGCCGAGCCGCCGAGCCGCCGAGCCGCCAAGCAGCCGAACAGCCGAGCAGCCGAGCCGCCCAGCAGCCGAGCCGCCGAGCTGCCCAGCAGCCGAGCCGCCGAACCGCCGAGCCGCCGAGCCGCCCAGCAGCCGAGCCGCCGAGCCGCCCAGCAGCCGAGCCGCCGAGCCGCCGAGCCGCCGAGGCCGCCGTCGAGCCGCCACTACCGAGCCACTGCCGAGCCGCTGCCACCGCGGTTACCGCACTGTTCCTTCCGGCGCGCCCCGGCCCTACCCACCCGGACTGGTGAGAGCACTCCCTGCTAGACCACTGCTGTCATGGCTACCCTCAGTGTACTTACCTTTGATGCTGAGGGTCGTGCTGTTGACTTCGAGGTCTGGGTCGATGACCTACAGCTCTTCCTACAGTGCGATAGGGCAGACGGACTCTCCCTGTTCGATCTCACCTCTGGTGCCTCTCCTGCCAGCACTGTTCGCTCACAGTGGGCCACCCGCGATGCTGCTGCCCGTCTTGCTGTGCGTCGCCACTTACCGACCACTGAGCGTGCGCACTTTAGTCAGTACAAGAGTGCTAAGACCTTGTACGACGCTGTAGTTGCACGCTACTCTTCCCCTGCCACTGCTGCCCTTAGCCGCCTCATGCTGCCGTACCTGTTCCCTGACCTCGCCGCCTTTCCCACTGTCGCTGACCTCATTACGCACCTTCGCACTAGTGACACCCGCTACCGTGCTGCGCTTCCTGCTGAGTTCTGCGCCAAGAACCCCCCCCCCATGTACATCACCCTCTACTACATAGTCACCCGGCTCCCTGACTCCCTTCACTCGGTCAGGGACCACTTCCTCTCTGTTTGCCCCACCACACTCACCGTTGACCTCCTCGAGGAGCGCCTCCTGGCAGCTGAGAAGAGTATAGTCGCTGTAGGAGCCTCTCGTGGTGACCCTCGTGCCCCCTTCTTTGAGGGGTGCTCCCCCTTCCCCCTGTTGCCCTCTGTTGCCTCTGCTGCTGCCGTCAACCTCGTTGGCTTCGAGTCGGTCGGAGCTGCGTCTGCCCCTAGCGGGAGACGCCGCACCGGCAAGGGCAAGGGGGGCAAGGGCGCTGGAGGGGCTGGCGGGGGCGGTGGAGGTGGCGGTGGAGGCAGTGGAGGGGGTGGGGGTGGTGGTGGGAGTGGTGGCGGGGGTGGAGGTGTCGGTGGCAGCAGTGGAGGCGGAGGAGGCGGCGGCGGTGGCGGTGGGAGCGGCGGCGGCGGAAGTGGCGGAGGCGGCGGCGGCAGCGGTGGAGCTGGTCGCGGCTCTACGCAGAGGAGTGGCTCCGGTGGTGGTCCGCGCCAGCTGCAGCAGCGCACTCGTGAGACCCTGTCCCCCCAGCAGCTTCGTGAGTGGTACGCTGCGCGTCAGCGAGGTGGGGGTACTGGTCCCTGTACCTACGTCCTCCGTACCGGCGACCGCGCTGGTGAGCAGTGCGGGGGCTCGCACTCCACCCAGCGCTGCTTCGGCCGCCTGACGGACGCTTGGCTTCACCAGTTCCCTGACGCCACTGAGATCCCTCGCTGGGGAGAGCTGTCTAGGGCGGGGGTTGCTATCTTTGATCTTGATTATGATGCTATTCTTGCTGCCATGTATGCTGTTGTCTGCTAGTGATGAGGGTGACTGTTACCTGTGTGTTCCGCCTGACCCGGGCATTGAGGCTGCTGCTCTAGGTGCTGGTGAGGCTGCTGCTCTAGGTGCTCGTGCGTCTGCTGCCCCAGGTGCTGGTGAGTCTGCTCTCTCAGGTATCACGTCGGCTCAGGCCTTACACACCTTCACCCTTGACTCGGGTGCTTCCCGCTCCTTCTTTCGAGACCGCACCACGCTTACGCCGCTTAGTCGGCCAGTTGCGGTCTCCCTGGCGGACCCCTCTGGGGGTCCTGTCCTTGCTCGCTTCTCCACTATCTTACCGTGTCCGGCAGCCCCCTCTGGCACCCTGTCAGGTCTCTACCTCCCCTCGTTCTCTACGAACTTGGTGAGTGGTGCTGACCTACAGGATGGGGGGGTTGACCAGTTCACTCCTGCGGGTCAGCGGGTGACCCACTGTACGTGTGCTCGGACGGGCCGACACTTGGCCACGTTTACCCGTCGGCCGGGGTCGAGCCTGTACACACTGACTACTTGCGTCCCCTCCGGTTGCTGAGTCTGGTCAGGTAGCTGCGTCGAGTCAGGTGTTTGCTGCAGTGTCCAGGTCTGGTCCTGAGTCTGCTCCCTGCTCGTGTCGTCTCCTGTCCCACCAGACTCTCCTCTGGCACCACCGTCTTGGTCACCCCTCCCTGCCTCGTCTCCGATGTATGGCCTCCCGTGTCCTTGTCTCTGGTCTCCCCCGGTCCCTCCCTCCCCTCCCTCCGGGGCCTGCCCCTACCTGCGATCCCTGTGTCGAGGGGCGGCAGCGCGCCGCCCCTCACTCCTCCAAGTTTCCTCCGACAGAGGCTCCGCTGCAGACTCTTCACATGGACGTGTGGGGCCCGGCCCGCGTCCGTGGCCAGGGTCACGAGCGTTACTTCCTGTTGGTGGTTGACGACTAATCCTGTTACACCACGGTGTTCCCCTTGCGCAGCAAGGGTGACGTCACTGGGGTGTTGATCGACTGGATCCGCGCAGCTCGTCTCCAGCTCAGAGAGAGTTTCGGCTCGGACTTTCCTGTTCTGCGTCTGCACTCTGACAGAGGCGGGGAGTTTTCCTCTGCCCTTCTAGGAGCCTTCTGTCGTGCACAGGGCATCCGCCAGACCTTCACGCTTCCGGTCTCTCCACAGCAAAATGGGATTGCTGAGCGCCGCATTGGCATGGTCATGGACGTCGCTCGTACGTCCATGATCCATGCGGCTGCTCCCCATTTTCTGTGGCCGTTTGCGGTTCGGTACGAAGCGCATCAGATCAACCTTCAGCCCCGAGTCTCCTTGCCGGAGACCTCCCCCACCCTGAGGTGGACGGGGAAGGTTGGCGATGCGTCTGCGTTTCGGGTCTGGGGATCTCGGGCGTTTGTCCGCGACTTGTCTGCGGACAAGCTGTCTCCCCGTGCGGTTCCCTGCGTCTTCCTTGGCTTCCCCCCTGACGCGCCTGGTTGGCAGTTTTACCACCCCACCTCGCGCCGTGTTCTGTCCTCCCAGGACGTCACGTTTGACGAGTCGGTGCCTTACTACCGTCTCTTCTCCTACCGCACTGCGCCCCTCCCCCGCCGCCGCTCTTCCTTGCGCCAGGTCCTCCCCCGGTAGACCCTCTCCCCCCTCAGGGTCCTGCCCCGTCAGGTGTGTCCCAGGTAGACGCAGTCGAGCCTGTCGAGGTAGCTGTTGACTCTGGTGCTGCTAGGGGTGCTGAGCCTGCGGGTGCTTAGTCTAGGGGTGCTGAGCCTGGGGGTGCTGAGTCTGGGGGTGCTGAGCCTGGGGGTGCGGAGCGTGGGGGTGCGGAGCCTGGAGTTGCGGAGCCTGGGGGTGCGGAGCCTGGGGGTGCTGAGCCTGGGGGTGCGGAGCCTGGGGGTGCTGGGTCTGCTCGTGTGGCCTCTGGCGGTGCTGGGTTTGGGGGTCCTTCGGGTGCTTCGTCTCGGCGGGAGCTACCCTCTCCACAGGAGCTGCGCGAGTGGTTTGCCCGGCGCTGGAGCCGTGCTGCTGGAGCTGGAGGTGCTACGGTTGCTGCTGACCCTGGAGTCGGCACTGGAGTTACTCGAGCCACTGGTCCTGGAGGTGCTCGTACTGGCGGGTACTAGAGCTGCTGGGACTGGGTGTGCTGCTGGGGCTGCTGGAGATGGTCCTGCTGGAGGTACCGCGGGAGCTGCTGGCGGTACTTGAGCTGGCGGTCCTGCTGGAGTTGGTGCTGCTGGAGCTGCTGGAGCTGGAGCTGCTGGGGGTGTTGGCGCTGGAGGTGCTGCTGGCGCTGGTGCTTCTGAGGGTGCTGGAGTTGGCGCTGTTGGAGCTGGAGGTGCTGCTGGCGCTGGTGCTGCCGCTGGGGGTACTGGTGCTGTCCCTGCTGGTTCTGGAGGCACTACGCGGCCGCGGCCGTACTTCGTTCCGCTCCTTTAGCAGGTTCTTGGTCTCCCGCCCTCTACTGGAACTGCTCCTCCCTTAGAGTGTCCACAGCCTGTCCAGTCGCGGTCACAGTTACAGCCCGCCTCCCCCCTACCTGCTCCTTCTCCCTACACTGGTCCTACTGGAGGTCTTGCTGAGCGTCGTGAGCCTGCGTCTCGTCCTGCGTCGCCTGTTCGTGCTGCTCGCACTAGTAGTCGTGCTCCGCGTCCGCGTCCTCCTGCGGTCCCAGGCACACACCAGATGGCACTGCGTCCTTCCACTGCTCCTCTGCGTGTCCCGCTGCCGTCTCCTCCAGAGTCCTCTCTTCCTGTCCTTGCTGACCCGGAGTCTGACTCTCTTCGTGCTGCCAGTCCTACTGTCACGCGTCTCCTGGCTACTGTTGTCACTGACCCTTCCTTTGAGTCCACTGCTGCGTCTGCCTTGGTTGCTGAGCTTGTTGACTTTGCTGCTCGCTGTCGTCTAGACTACGCTGCTAGTCTTGTTGCTAAGTCTGAGTCTGTCTGTCCTCCGTCCGTCGGGGGTGAGTGTGCTCTTAGCACGGACGTCCTTGAGGACAGGCAGGAGGAGTTTCAGTGTTTTGCTGCTGCTTTGCCTCATCTCGTGTCCACGCTGATTGCCCCTGAGGGAGACCCGGATGCACTAGACATCCCGACTCCTCGATCGTACGCTGAGGCGATCGAGGGTCCCTACTCCTCACAGTGGCAGTCAGCCATGGACGCAGAGATGGCTTCTTGGAAGTCCACAGGTACCTACGTCGACGAGGTTCCCCCACCTGGGGCGAACATCGTCAGTGGCATGTGGATTTTCAGGGTGAAGCGGCCGCCGGGTTCTCCGCCTGTCTTCAAGGCGCGTTACGTGGCTCGAGGCTTCAGTCAGCGGCAGGGAGTTGACTACTTTTAGACCTTCTCTCCCACCCCGAAGATGACCACTCTTCGGGTGCTGCTGCACATAGCCGCTCAGCGCGACTACGAGCTTCACTCTCTTGACTTCAGCACTGCTTTCTTGCAGGGCAGCCTGCACGAGGAGATCTGGCTGCGCCGCCCACCTGGCTTCACTGGGTCGTTTCCTCCTGGTACCCAGTGGAGCCTCCGGCGGCCAGTCTACGGTCTCCGCCAGGCGCCCCGTGAGTGGCACGACACACTGAGGACTACACTTGCGGCTCTTGGGTTTGCTCCTTCTACTGCCGACCCGTCGCTGTTTCTGCGCACCGACACCTCTTTGCCGCCGTTCTACATCCTCGTGTATGTCGACGACTTGGTCTTTGCCACTGCTGACACTGCTGGACTCGCCCACGTGAAGTCCGAGCTGCAGAAGAGACACACGTGCACAGACCTGGGTGAACTGCGCTGCTACCTTGGCTTGCAGATCACCCGGGACAGAGCACAGCGCACCATTACCCTGACTCAGTCACACATGGTGCAGCAGGTCCTTCAGCGCTTCGACTTCACGTACTCCTCGCCTCAGGCCACTCCTCTGTCTACTCGCCACTCGCTCTCAGCTCTGCCTTCGGATGAGTCCGTAGAGCCGAGTGGCCCGTACCCAGAGCTTGTTGGCTGCCTCATGTACCTGATGACCTGCACTCGACCTGACCTTGCATACCCTCTTAGCATCTTGGCACGCTATGTTGCTCCTGGGAGACACCGACCAGAGCACATGGCTGCAGCGAAGAGGGTGTTGCGCTACTTGTGCAGTACGTCGGGCATGGGGCTAGTGCTTGGAGGGCGACGTCGAGTGGTCCTCACAGGTCACACAGACGCTTCTTGGGCTGACGACCAGGCTACGCAGCGGTCGTCACAGGGTTACACCTTCAGCCTTGGTTCCGGCTTTGTTTCGTGGCGGTCTACCCGCTCTTCTTCTGTTCTCGGCTCCAGCTATGAGGCTGAGATCTACGCGGGGGCCATGGCTGCACAGGAGCTACGCTGGCTCACCTACCTGCTGACTGACCTAGGAGAGCCGCCTCGTTCTCCTCCAGTTCTGTACGTAGACAACAAGGCCATGCTGGCCTTGTGTCGGGAGCACAGACTGGAGCACAGAACGAAGCACATTGCTCTTCGCTACTTCCTTGCTCGTGAGCTGCAGCAGCGTGGTCAGCTGCGCCTTGCTTACGTGGCCTCTGAGGCCAACACTGCTGATATCTTTACCAAGGCACTTCCGCCTTGTGATCATCAGCGCTTCTGTACGATGCTAGGTCTTGTGCCTACTTGGCCTCACTTGCTCACTTCTTGACCTTGCTTGTACTGTGATCTTTCTATACTTGCACTTGCTTGTTTACCTTTATACATGATCTTGCATGTGAACTGGCCTTGTGGCCTTGAACTTGTGCTCGGACTGTGTGGTGACGTTGTGATCCACCCTGAGCTTGCTTTGCTTTGCTTGACTGGTCTTGTGACCTCTTGTTCTCCCCCACTTTGCCTATGGGAGTGTGTCAAACTCATATGCTATAGTCTGTGTAGGCTGTAGTGGGGTAGACAATATGGGGTACAACATTTTTAGGTTTTCCTACTTGTACCCACCTCTTTGCTAGTTCATTTCATTCCTCATTTCTTCACAGGTTCCGCCAGAAGTTGCTGGTGAATTTCATGTCACGATCGCTGATTATTGCCGCTGGTATCCCGTGTAGTCGAACGACGGTGGCGATGAAGAGGCGGCCTGTTTCTTCGGCTGTGATCGATTTCTTGCAGGCTGCGAAATGTGCCATTTTCGTCAGTCGATCGACGACGACCAGGATCGTGTCGTTCCCATTCGCTCCGGCCGGTAACCCCGTGACGAAGTCCATCGTCACCTGCTGCCAAGCACGCTCTCGGGGTGGTATCGGCTACAACTGTCCTGCCGGCCGCTTCTGTGATGATTTCATGAGCTGGCAAATGGGACACAATGCCACGTGTCGAACGTCGGTCAACATCTCGGGCTAGTAATAATACCGCTGCAGCTGCTGCCGTGTTTTCTCTACCCCGAAATGTCCTGAGGTAACTCCGTCGTGTGCCTCCTGTAACAGTAATTCCCGTAGTAGTGAATACCCCGGTACCCAGATGCGGTCGGTGCCGGCTTTTACGTAATAAACTCCTTTTGCTGCTACGAACTGCTGCGAATTTCCTCCTGTGAAGAATGGATCCGTTTGATACCCATGGGTGAGTAGTCCTTTCAGTAGTGGGCTAGTCTGGGCAAGTAGTATCGCGTGGATCTGGGCAGTGGAGCGGGTCAGTGCGTCGGCGATGTTCGATGCCCCCTTTTTGTAGGTGACTGTGTAGTGAAAATTGGACTCGAGGAAATCGAGCCAGCGGATCTGTCGTGGGTTGAGGTGTGGCTGTGCGCGGAGGTACTGTAGTGATTTATGGTATGTCCGCACTGTCCCGTCTGCGCCGGTCAAGTAACAGCGCCACACTTTGAATGCGTGCACGATCGCGAGCATTTCGCGGTCGTGTATCGGGTAATTTTTCTCAGGCAGATGCAGTTTTTGAGACTCGTATGCGATGGACTGTAGGCCGTTGCCAAAGTCCTGTAGCAGTACGGCTCCGATGGCGATGTCGCTGGCGTCTGTAACTACTTCAAATGGGTGGTGTGGGTTGGCGATGTGCAGTACGGGCAGAGAAGGCAGCCTGCTCTTTCTCCCCCCATGTAAAAACGACCCCCCTTTCGCAGTAAGTCCATGAGTGGTGCTGTTAAGCGTGCCATGTCGGGGAGAACCGACGCACATAATTTACAAACCCCAAAAAACGTTGCAGCTCCGTGATATTCGTCGGGGGGTGCCACGCTTGTACCGTGTCCAGCTTCTTTGGGTCAATTTCGACCCCAGCCTCCGAAATAACGTGCCCCAAAAACTCTAGCCTGTCCTGAAAGAACTTGCACTTGGAACCCTTTGTCAGTAGCCGGTTCTCGCATCTGCTAAGTGCTGCTGCTTGTCGCGACTGTAGACGAGGATGTCGTCGAGGTAAACTATCACACATTTATCTATTAGTGGCCTAAACGCTTCATTCATGGCCATTTAAAATGTCGCCGGTGCGTTGGTCAGCCCGAATGGCATCACAGTGTACTCGAATGACCCGTACCTAGTCCTAAAAGCCGTCTTGGCGCAGTCCAATGGTTTGACTCTAATCTGATGATAACCTCCCCGTAAATCTATTTTCGAAAAGACCCGTGCTGTTCGCTGCTGATCGATCAGTTTGTCGGCGCGGGGAATGGGGTATTGCGACTTGACTGTTACACTGTTCAGTGCCTTGTAATCGATGCACATGCGAAACCCTCCGTCTTTTTTCGGTGTGAACAGTATCAGTGCGGCGAACGGTGACGAACTCGGTCGGATGAATTTTTTCTCTAACAGGTAATCTAATTGCTTCCTCAGTTCGTCGAGCTCGGGTTGTGTCAGTCTTAACTATCGCTGTACGGTTGGCTGTGCCCCCGGTTCTAAGGGTACATTCCTGTGGAGACACTTGTGTCTGAACCCCCGTTTTCCCGGGTCGCGCCTGTAAATTTGCCAAATGTTGTGTCACAAACAACCAATGTATCGCGACTGTGAGCGACAGTTGGGCACGGCCAGGTGGTCGCTTTCTATTGGTTGCGATGTACAGGATCGGGCCCTCATCGTTTTCCCGCAGCAGGGCAGGGATGTGACCGTGTGGTTACATCCACCACTCAGCTGTCAGCCAGGGCAGAGCGGTTTCCTTTCCCGCCCGAAATCTGCCCATTTTGGGCGTCCATGTGCATGCTATACAGTGTGACATTTCGACACGCGTGCGATTTTCAAGAGGTGACGGGGCCTCGTGTAACTCGTCCGCGTCACCCGCGCAATTCACACCAACCAATGTAAAATACAGTGAGGATCGCATTACTGCGGTCCGCGTTTGTGACACAGTACGTTATATGCATTTTTTTAGAGTCAAAAAGTGTTTCAGACACAAGTGTCTCCACAGGAATGTACCCTAATTCTATTCGGTGGTCGTGTGCTCGCTGAGGTGGCAGTCCCTCAGGTAAATCATAAGGGAAAATCCCCGAGTACCATTTCAATAGTTCCTGTAGTTCGTGCGGTACCGCTGCCAGCAGTTTCTTGAAATCGCTTGGCTGCTCTACTTCCTCTGCCACTGCAATGTCTACTGCGTACACGTCAGCTCCTGCGGCGACAGCCCGTTTCATTGTGACGGCGTTGACGTGTACCGTTGAAGACTCAGGCGACTGCCAGCGAGGTAGTTCGACCCAGTTACCGCTACTTCGCACAGTGTAGCTACCCGTCGTCCAGTCAATTCGCGGGTTATACCGTCGCAGCCAATCCCGTCCCAGTAAAATGTCGTGCCCATCCAGTGTCGTCGCGAGCATTTCCTGTGCAAACCCGAAGTTCCCCCCGCAGCGGACCTTTACTCTCTCCACCTTTTCCCGTATGGCCAGCGGTGTGCCGTCAACTAAGCGTGCATCTACCTCCGGTAAATACCGGCTAAGTGTCAGTTGCAGTTTTCGTGTGGTCGCGGTATTAACTAAACTGTGACTTGCTCCTCCGTCGATAAAAATCTTCACTGCTGCTCCCTGTATTTTCCCAAAAATCAATACCACACAATCCGTCACTGTACCCTCCTTATTCATCCGAGCCCGATCGATGGCGTGAATCGGTACTGTGACTCGGTGAGGGTCGGTGGGGTTGGGCAAGCAGGCAGTCTCGTCAGTAGTTGGCCCGGTTCCTACTGACTGCTGGCGTTTCCCTGCCTTGGAGACTCCCTCTTTGCTCTGCTCCGCGGTGCCTCAGCTCCTCTGGGCATTCACTCTTGCGATGGCCCGGCCTGTTGCAAGCAAAGCAGCGCCCTTTAAACGGCGTGGCAGCTGCATTTGTCGCAACGGCGTGTACGGTGGCGTGCTCGATCGGTCCCTGAGGGCGATGTCCGTAATAGGACCCCGGTCTCGGACGGCGCAGGAATGTCGACTTTGAAATTTGAGAGTCCGCGTAGCATGATTTCATGCGAGATGTCCGGCTTCATCCCTCCGACGTAACGGTCCACCCGCTCCGCTTCGTGCATATAGCCCACTTGCTCGCATAATGCGAGAAAACTGCTCGTGTAGTCTGGAACCGATCCGAGCTGCCGCCAAGTACGCAGCCTCTGACGCGCCGAAATAGAAGCCGCTATCGGCTCGTAGCGTGCCCGAAGCCCTGCGCACCACGCATCACACGTGCTGTACTGGGCGGTTTTGCAGAATGTACTCCAGGTGACGGCTGGGCCCGTGGGCCCTTCCTCTTGCGACAGGGGCTCATAGGTGCGTGGCGACGTCACGATGATTCGCCACCAGTCCATGGCAGGGCCCCTCAGCAGCGAGACGGCGTATCTGATCTTCGCTGCGTCTGTCTCGACGTAGTTCGCGTCGAAAAAGACGTTCATCGTGAAGACCCACGACTGAACCGTCGGACCTCCACGCTGGCTCGGGTCGAAGAAGGGAGTGGCATTGGTGCCATGATGGCGTGGTCGCCACTTGTCGCCGCAAATTCCACGTGCCGACGAGCTTCGCGAGGTTCCTGCGGGCTCGGCGCGACCCTGTTTCTCTCCATGCCAGGCATTGATTGAGCGGCGCCATCACTGGCTGCGCCTGAGTGTTGTCCCACGCTGTCATTTGTGCCAGTGTGCCTGATGAAATGACGATCAGCTCCTCCAATTGTGCGGGTGCATTTGCAGGTGCGTGTGGTGGCGCTGGAGCATTCACCATCGATTGCTGACGCGCGGAGTCACGTTCCGCCGTGAGTGTCGCAATTTCGAGCGCCGATTCTTCGACTTGGCGCACGAGACTGTCGAGTTGCTCCTGCGTCAGTGTCGCGAGAGTGAATTCGGCCATGGCGGGGGTGTCGGGCAAGCTCATCGAGAGCCTCTGTCGTGGCCGTGCGTGCTTACGAGAGAGCACTACGAGCGGCGGTGCTTGTTTCGCTGAGAGACGCCTACCCCCCCCAAAATTTGAGACAGTGGGGGAAGCGAAGGTGTGGGTGCGGTCCAAGAAGAGATCGTAGGCTCTGATACCAAGTGTTACGAGTGCAATTGGGTGAGTGAGCGAGAATTGCACTATCGAAGCAACAAGTTCAAATGAGCGAAGGCATGAGCGAAGAATATATAGCGAAACGACGGTGGTAACGGTAATGTGGGAAAATGGGGTGCGCGACGGGCCTAGCGCCGAGGGTTGGGAAATGTCGAGGCGGAGGTCTGGAGCGCGGGTAACCAACCGAACCGTGAGGTTGGGTCGCGTCGTGAACAGTGGCGGGAACAGTG